ACCTGCATGGGTATCACACCTTTTGTTGAGATTTTCTCAATTGACGTGTGACAGACACAGAAACTCTTCTTCATCATCACCATCATCAGCTTAGTTTTTTAAGGTAATGTCAGTATAGAATTCTTATTATTTTGTTTGTATACTGCACAAGAATGCAGAAGCTTGGGTCACCATCTGTCATAACTCAATCGATATTCATTTTTGAAGAAGGGGAATTTATTGGTGTTCTTAAGATTTGTAGAGTTTACTATATATTGCATTAGTATTTAAGCGGACATGTATTGTAGCTTGGTGGTTAAGGTGCTTGCACTCCAATAGCGCAGTGCTAGGTTCAAATCCTGTCATACCAGGAAAAACAACTCCCCTCCCTAAAGCCGGGTACACACAGTGCAATGGCCAACGCAATTCCATGGAGAACACGAGACGGCATATTCACAACCGATCACTTGACAATCCGCTTAGACTGCCCCTGACAACCATTGCGTCGTCAAGCGTTTAAAGAGCGAGGAGATGCATTCATCGTACAAACTTCGTAATCCGTAGTGCGTGCCCGACATTAGCCTCATAATTAGACTTGGTTTATAGAGCATCAATTTCAACCTGTATGCGACGAATCACTATGTGTTGGAAATAAATGAAATTTGGAAATAATCTTCCTAATTATCATAATGCTTTTATTATTACTGATGGAAATGTGATGGTACATAGAATCCAACATAGCTTAGAATACCATCACTAGATCAAGTAGATAATACAAAGATGATTGCTTATTGGATGGGTGATTATCTTCACATAAATATATATTGTTATTAATATCCCCCTCATAAAGGCAACACTTAATTACGATAGTATTAATTTATTCATGCTTCTTCAACATTTAAGTTGCTTTAATGTAATAAATATTTGAGAATACTTATGTTCCAATCAGGATTTGAACCCAAGACATTCCGATTACTGTTTACATATTCTACTATTAGTTAAAGGCCAAACGGTATCCACCCTAGGATTTTCCCATTAGGACACATTTTTTTCTCTCAAGTTGATGCGTAATATACAATGGATTACACATATGAATGAATTAAATAACAATATACATTCATGTATATATATTATGTTCCTGATCAAGTGATGGTATTAAACCTATTTTGTATTCTATGTACCATCAAATGTAGTAAATATATAATAATTTTTGATTTATATTTTAGACCAACTGCAATGTGTAAACAGTAAATTGTTAAATAAATGTACAAATTGTTTCCTTCCTTTTTTATGTTACATTTTCATGTTGCACAGCGCGTTGTCGTAAGGCATCGCAACACATCGCTTCACAACAAAATCTCCCTATTTTTTTGGTTTTCCAACTTGGGATGTCTGTAAATAGGATATTATCTAAGAAGAGGGGAAAGGCGGTTATGATTTTAGTTTAGAAATGCTTGAGCATAGGCACTGGTACATGGACTTTAAATTGACAAATGTGAAGTACCATGCTTCTCTCTTTCTCCTTCTATTCTTTTCTTTTCTTTCTTACCTCTTTTTGCCTCACCTCTGACATGCATTTAAAATAATAAAATTTTTGTAAACACACTCCTGTATTGGTTGGTAATCAACTTGAAGATTTTTGTAGTAAATATTATGTAACAAAAACAAGAGTTTATAACTTATATTTATATTCCTTTTTAAAGTAATAAAACATTTAAAGTTTTTAATGAAGTCACAAGGTTTCCTAAAGTTGAATGATGCAAGCATTTGGTGCAGTTGTCACTTAGAACAATACAAAGTACATCACCTGAAGAAGTGCACTGTATGCGCGAAAGCTGGTGTATTGTCATTAAAGTTTTAAGTATTTCATGTCCAGTGTTTGTGTATCAGACTAGCACGGCTCATCTATTTTCAGGATTCCAAAACTGGACCAAAATAATATAAAAACTGTTCTCGCATCTAGATACCATTTTTTTTTACTACTATACATTAATTTTCCTCTGTAATTTTTCACTGTCATGTTGTAATGCAGATTTGTCAAGAAATTTATTCTAGACCACAATGAAAATCAATGCCTTTACATACTCCATGCCGTCAAGAATAAAACACAAATAAAAACAATATTGTGAATCACTGTTCCCTGATTTTAAGGGTAATCAAATTTATTTTTCATATTTCATCAAAAAACTAATACATTTTGTCAAAAAATAAAATAATAATGTATAGAGTATTTAACCTAAGACGGTACAAAAACAGGTGTTTATTTTTCTGTGTGTGTTTGGCTTTGTTTGGTTAAGTTCCAAATGTAATTCGTTTCATGTATGTAATTTTTGGTTTTGTTAATATTTTGTTGAGCAAATGATAAGACAAAAAGAAAAAAAAAAGCAATATTGAAAAGAAGGATCATTTAGCTTAAAGTATTTTAAACAAATTAATTGAAACAAATAATAACATTCAATTTGTACTTACCCTGCTGCAACTATAAAGAAATCAAGCTTATTCCAAGATTCCCTCATATAACCAAGCTTCCCGAGAATTCCCATTGCTATCATTTTGATAACCATTTCCACTGCAAAGAAAGCAAAGATGAAGTGGTCGAAGCCTGCGAGCACTAGGCATCTTCTCGAATCGCACGTCGTGTCCTCACACGGCCGATACATTCCCAACGTCACGCAGTTCAGGATTATAATCAGCATGCTTACTCGTTCAAACCATGTGAGTACACAGTTAAGGAAATTATCACAAACATTTTTAAAATGACACAAAAATATATGGATGATATAGTGAATATGACTGTTGAATAAGAATGTGTGAAAAATAGCATTGCAGAAAATACAACATATTCCTCTGTTCAAACAATGTACGGCTATTAAAAGAAAGAAAATATCTTTAATAAAAAGTTATAGTTTCATTTTAAAAGTTTATTAACAAAATAATATAAAGCTTGTAATACACAAATAAAAACATTATAAATACAAAATAATGGGGAAAATGTATAAATTTAATGCAAAATAAGAAAAATATTTGAATGTATATATTTAAAAGATATATAACAGAAATTTTAAATCAGAATTGACAAGAAATGGATGTGTCTGCCAAGGTTTATGTTAAATATGATATGTTGTACAATAATTTTTTTTTTTAAAAAGACACAAACAGCATATTTGACGAAACAGTTTGGAGAGGTTATTGAGATACCGATTTTTTAACATTTAAAAACTAAAGGACAAAGCTGGAAAAAAGGTTATACCCATCTTTCCCTCAGTTTTCAAATCTTAAAAAAAAAAAAGTTTTTGTCAAATATTTTTTTTTTGTGTCTTAGAAAAATCAGTTGTACAACATATTTTTTTTTTTATTTATTTATTTTTTTTTTTATTTTTTTATTTTTTTTTTTTTTTTTTTTTTTTATTTT